ATGACCTGCCTACTACGGATAAGGCTGGTCTCTATGAGGTGGAGATTAAAGATGTCCCAAATGTCCATCTCTTCCAAACTGCTGTACCACTCTATCATCTCTAACATCAACTCCTCTTCCTCCCCTCAATACTCTTCCCTCCTGTCTTAGGGTTCCGTATTTCATTGTAACATCTCATGAACAGCCAAAGAAATTGCTCACGTGGTTGTGGAGGCTGGCAAGTCCCAAATCCGTGGGTCAGGCATCTGTTTGGTGGATTCTCCTCATTCGTGGTTGCAGAGGTTGATGAACCCAAATCAGCAGGTCAAATGACTGGCTGCTGTCTCAAGACCCAATAACCAAGGGTAAGATTATGACAAACCAGAAGCAGGATCCAGACAAAAGAGCATTCACATATGTGCCCTTAAAGAAACTAAGAGTGGTGACTTGAGTCACACCTTACTGTAAGGCGAGACTCGACTCGAGCCATCCCACCCTAATCCTACTTCATCAACAAAAAAGACAACTCACCCCTAAATGGGACCATAACCACAGGCATAGAGGCTAGGATTTACAATTAAAAAAAAAAAAAAAAAACTGCCATCGAGTTGTTTCCGACTCACAGTGACCCCTGCTGGGTTTCTAAGCCAGTAAATCTTTACCGAAGTAGATTGCCCAGACTTGCTTCCATGGAGTGGCAGGTGGGTTTTACTCACCAACCTTCTGGCTAGCAGTTACATGCCTTAAGTCGCTGTGCTACCAGAGCTCATTCTAGGATTTACAATACATCCCAAAATGGAGGACTATGACTAGAAGAGCCATATTAAGCAATTTCACTACACTGCAGTGATCTAAGGTAGACGTGCTGGAAGACCTTTGGGGAAGGGTCATTCGATATGCTGTGGAAGTGCTAAGAAGGATAAATCCCTGGGTAGATGAAGTTAAATAAGTCTTTTCTAGAGGAAGCAGCATGTCTAAAAATAAACATACCCATGCAGTGCTTCAATCTTCTAAAGCACAGCCTTTTCTACACAGCCATAGAGAGCCAAAGACAGTGAGTGAACTTCAAACTGCCTTCAAGAAGAAACAAATAAGGCAGGAGCACAAGAATAAAACTCAGTGGAGGATTAGAGAAACAAACAAAAAAAACACTAAACCCATTGCCAGTTGGGTCGATTCCAATTCATAGTGACTCTGTGGGACATAACAGAACTGCACCATGGGGTTTCCAATGCTATAAATCTTTACAGAAGCCAACTGCCACATCTTTCTTCTGGTGGGTTGGAACTTCTTACCTTTCAGCTAGCAGCCAAGTGCTTAACCCTTTCACTACCAGGCTGTCAGTGGAGGATAAAACTGTAATACTTTTTCAAGTTTGTTAGAGAAGAAGCCCTTCAATAGACAGTTATAAAACTAAGGATCTTTAGTTAAACATTTACCTCAAGTAGATACACTCCTTGGAGAGAAAAATCATGGGAGAAAGAAGGGCTGCTTATGCACAGGGAGACAGCTCAGGGGGCAGGAGTGTATGGAGGGATGGACAGTGGGAAGAGGTAACTATGGGGAGAAAGTGGGAGGGGAGCTGTTGCATTGTGGTAAACCAGTCAATGACATGAGACAAAGTATATGTGAACTGCTGTATGGAAAGTAAATTTGCTCTGTAAATCTTCACCCAAATCACACACACACACACACACACACACAAAGACTAAGGATCTTTAAATAGTCCCCATAGCAAGAAACAAATAATCAAAAAATGTGGACATATTTGTCTCACAGTGTGTGAGCCTTTTACCCTTAGAAGTCAACAAAGAGGATAAAACAAGTATTGTAAATAGAAAGTATTGATGGAGACAATCCAGGAAATGAGAATGTTGAGTGGAAATTCATAGAGTTCCAGGGACCTTAGATACCACCTCATGCCCACTGCCCATTCAGAGAAGGTCCTGACAGTGTTGCTTTCACCTAGAAGAGCACAGCTTTACAACCCAATGATGAATTTAGTGCTCCCTTCGGCCCTTTCTGAACTAGCTTGACCTAGAAAGGAACTTACTCCAGAAAACTTTGTTTCACCACAATACATCATAGAAGGATTGTCTCCTCTGCTGGGCAACTGGCACAAGGTAATTAGCTCTCCCTTTTGCCCCTCATTTGCTTAGCTACTATTTGTGTTTAGGTTTTTTTAAGTAGTCCTTCAGTATATTATCATTACTATTGAGATATAATTCCCATATCATAAAGCTCCCCTTTTTAAAGTGTACAATTCAGTGGTTTGTGGTAGATTAATAAGGTTGTACAAGCATCACCATTATCTAATTCTAAAGCATTTTCATTTTCTCAAAAAGAAACCTGGTACCCATTAGCAAAAAAAAAAAAAAAAAAATTCCATCAAGTAGATTCTGACTCATGACAGCTTCTTGAGTTTATAGAAATACTGTGTTACATAGAGTTTTCATGGCTATAACCTTTTGAAAGAAGATTGCCAGGCTTTTCTTCCAGGTTATCTCTGGATGGGTTCGAACCACCAACCTTTTGGTTAGCAGCCAAGCACTTAATCATTTACATCAGCCAGGGACTCCTGAACCCATTAGCAGATATTCCTCTTTCCCCAACCCCTGGTAATCACTAATCTGCTTTCTATCTCTGTGGATTTACCTATTTTGGGTATTTCATATAGATGGAATCATATAATAGTTGGTCTTTTGTGTCTAGCTTCTTTAACTTAATGCTTTTCATGTTCATCCCTTTTTATGGCTGAATAATATATCACTGTATGGATATTCACATCAGTTGATGGCTTTGAGTTGTTTTTACCTTTTGGCTACTGTGAATACTACTATTATTAACATTTATCTACAAATGTTTGTGGGAACATAGTTCTCTTGGGTATATATACCTGGGAGTGGAAATGGTCACATTGTATTTCTGTGTTTAACCTTTTGAGAAACTGTCATTCTGTTTTTCAAAGCAGCTGCCCCTTTTCACATTCCTGCCAGCAATGTGTAAGTGATCTGATGTCTCTACAACTTCATCAACACTTCTGATTGTCTGTCTTTTTAATTCTAGCCATTGTGGTGGGTGTGAAGTGGTATCAAATTGTGGTCCTGATTTTCATTTCCCCAATGGCTAATGATAAAGTCCCTGAGTATTGAAAACGGCTAAACACTGGACTACTAGAAAGGTTGGCATGAACACATCCAGAATTGATCTGCTTCCAAAAGGTCACATCCTTGGAAACCCTATAGAGCAGTTCTACTCTGCACAGATGGGGTTGCCATAAGCAGGAATTGACTCAGCAGCAATGGATTTGATTTTTTTGGTTTTTAAGTAACTAAAGACATTGAACATCTCTTCATGCATTTAATGGTGTTATTTTAATATTTTCTTTGAAGAATATCTATTCAAATTTTTTGTCCATTACAAAAGTTTTTTGTATGTTCTGGATACTAGACCCTTGTCAAATTATTTTCTTCCATTCTGTGGGTTGTCTTCACTTTTTTTTTTCCTTTTCTTTTCACTTTCTTAGTAGCGTCTTTTGAAGTACTCCTGAGCAACTGTAGCATACATAGTGCCTAAGACACTTGACTGCTAATCAGAAGGCTGGCAGTTCAAACCCATCAGCCACTCCTCGGAAGGAAGATTGGGCAATCTACTTCAGTAGTGATACCCAGAAACCCAAGGAGGGGTTGCTGTGAGTTGGGTCCAACTCGACGACACATAACAACAACAACACAACATTTTAAAACAAAACTAAATTAGAAACACGTAATATTAAAACCAAACTCAGCCCTTGAGTTGATTCTGACTCAGTAGCCCCACTGGGTTAACAAGGCCGTAAATCTTTATAAAAGCAGACTTCTTCATCTTTCTGCCTTGGAGAAATATGTAATAGGTGTCTAAACTTTATTTTTAAACGTAATCGCCTCACTACTGTTGAGTTGGATCTGACTCATAGCAACCCCTCTTTGAGTTTCTGAGGCAGTATTACTATGGAATTAGATTGCCCAATCTTCCTTCCGAGTGGCTGGTGTGTTTGAACCCCAGCATTCTGATTCGCAGTCAAATGCCTTAGGCACTATGCTACCAGAGCTCCCTTTAAATGTATTACAATTCTACAAACAAACCATGGTATGCAGACCACGTTTTGAAGCTTTCAAACTAAGTCTTGAGCCTATTTAAGGGTCCCCTCAGAATGATAGCTATCACTTTTAAAGTACTTATGTGCCAGGCACTGTTTGGGCATTTTGCATGTTTTAACTTACCTAATTCTCACATTCCTATGAAATGTTATTGTTGTTATGTGCCGTGGAGTCGGACCCGACTCATAGCGACCCCTCCTTGGGTTTCCCAGGCAGTATCACTACGGAAGTAGATTGTCCCATCTTCCTTTTGAGGAGTGGCTGGTGGGTTTGAACCGCCAGCCTTCTGGTTAGCAGTCAAGTGCCTTAGGCACTACGCTACCAGAGCTCCTAGAGACGGGTATCATAATACTCATTTTCCTGCTAAGAAAATGAAAGCAGAGGAAGACTAATTTGCCTGCAGCAAATTACTGTTCTGAAGTAGCAGAGATGGGCTCTGGAGTCTGACTCCAGATTCCCTTGCTCTTAACTACTTCGATAGACTGCCAACGCAGGAGTCAAGCACTTTAAAGAACATCTACCGTCTCGCTTTGAGGAAAGAATCGATTGTTTTCGTAGCGTCTGCACGTTGGGCATTTTTCCTCTCCATACCAAGTCACCCATCCGGCTATCTTCATTGCACCCCTCTCCCATTCTGGAACCCACTCGGTTTCAGGACCCCTTTCTCCGCACGGGTCAGACGCTTTAGTTTCTTCCAAGTAACTGGGCGGTTGCTTGCGTGCACCAGGCTCTAAATTATTGGCGGCCAACGGGCACCGAGGAGCCGAGAAGTCAGTCCAATGAGGCTCAAGAGGGGTGGTGGGAGGAGCCAGCGCAGGGTGCAGGTACTGGGGGCCTCCACTGTGATAACTGTGAGCCGCGTCCGTTGCCCGGAGCGGAGTCATGAGCTGGACTTGCCCGCGTTGCCAGCAGCCCGTTTTCTTTGGTGAGGCCCGGGCTGAGGGTGGGTGGAAATTAAGCGAGTGTGGACCGCTGGGTCCTCGGAGGTGTTGGCGACAGTGGAGTCCCAGACTCCCTTTTCCACCTGTGGCGGCACAGGGGCTCCGCACCACCACCACCAGGTCCCAGCTGGGTCCCCACTGCGAGAGCCAGGTGGGGCGCTTCGCGCCGGGATGGGATGGAACTGGCCTCCTGGAAACCCACCCTATTGTCTCCAGGGAGCAGGGCGGGCGGGTCTGCTTTCCTCAGAAGGCTGAGGGGTAAAGGAAGGTGCCCGATGCTTGGCCTGGTACCCCGCAGCCCGGTTCCACCTTGTCCCCCACAGCTGAGAAAGTGAGCTCTCTGGGCAAGAACTGGCACCCCTTCTGCCTGAAATGTGAGCACTGCCACAGCGTCCTGTCCCCTGGCCGGCACGCAGAGGTGAGGCCCAGCCAGGGCGCACAGCCCTGGCTGTCACTGCCCCCAGGCCTTGACCGCTGGCTTGCCCTAGAGGCCCGCCAAAGGCAACCAAATGGCCAACTCCAAAGCCACCCTCCCTGTGAGCTCCAGACCAGCCATGGTGGTGGGGAGGGCAGCAGTGTCTCCTATCCTACTATTGCCTTTCCTCCCTTAACCACATTGGCATTCTGGTAAATGCCCACCTATGCCAGCCCATTCCTACCCCTCCCAACTCCACCAGGCTAAGCCAGTGGAGAGAGACATCTGGGAGCCTGTCTTAGGGGAAGACATGTAGGGCACAGAAGAGGCCCCTTTTTGACTCTGAGCGACCCCCTTCCCTCTGCTTGTGCCCAGCACAATGGGAGGCCGTACTGCCACAAGCCATGCTACGGGGCTCTCTTCGGACCCAGGGGTAAGTAAGTTCCAGCCTGGAAGGGGCCAGGACACAAGAGAACCCAACCCTCCTTGTGGCTGAGGGCTGCAGGCTCAAGCCTGTTCTCCCTTCTTTTCTCTGCAGGGGTGAACATTGGTGGTGTGGGCTCCTACCTCTACAACCCCCCCACTCCTACCCCTGCCAGCACCACTCCCCTCAGCCCCAGCAGCTTCAGCCCTCCCAGACCCAGGACTGGCATCCCCCAAAGCAAGAAAAGTAAGTGAAATTGGGTCACAGCCCCTCCTCTTCCTGAACCTTCCCCAGGCTGGAGCAGGAGGTGGGACAAGGTATAGTCTACACCCAGCTCTCTGATTCAGATTCTTACAACTTTTTGTTCTTGGCAGTCTTTTCTATCCATAGCCTCTTTTTTAATGCTCCCTCATGTCAACTGTTGAGAGGTAAATAGGGCAGATGGCATTATCACCCCTGTTTTACAGGTGGTGAAACAGGTCTAGAGAGGGCATGTGATCTGATACAGTCACACAGCTAGTCACAGGCAGAGCTGGCTGGGAGCTTGAGCCTATCTCAGTCCTGTGGAACTACCTATGTGTGAGGGGTCATTAAAATAGGGCCAGCCCCTCACCTTCATCAACTTCCCTCCTCCAGTCCTTGTTCTTCTCTCTCTCTGCCAGGACTGGCCATTGACACCATATTCCCCAACACCTGACACCTCTGCCCCAGCAAGCTCCTATATCAGCTCAGGTTTCCTGAGGATTGAGTTGCTGACAGGATTGGGCTACTGGGCACCTGAGGCCTTGGGAGGACAAGAAGGAAGCAGATGGTCCCTCCTGCATATAGGGATGGGGCAGGAGGTGGGGCCAGAGGGTACTCAGCTCTGGGCCTAAGGAAGGGAGACTTATGGTTGTCTGGGTGGGAGGGTGGGACTCTGAGATAAGCATGGCTTTTGGAAGAAGCTAGTGCCATGTGCAGGCATGTGCTGGTGGGCCCTGCTTAGGCCCTGGCCCCTGCTCAGCCCTAGCCAGGGCCTCTTCCCCTTAAAGGCCCTCCTCACATGAAGATGTTCACTGGGGAGACTTCACTGTGCCCTAACTGTGGGAAGCCTGTCTATTTCGGTAAGTATAATGAACTTGGGGAGGAGAGCACAGGGTGGGCAGCAAGAGGCAGGGAGGTGGTCCAAGGCAGGTGGGTCTCCCTGCCTGTGCCCAGAACCACCACCCCTTTCCCCCATCAGCTGAGAAAGTGATGTCTTTGGGCAGAAATTGGCACCGGCCCTGTCTGAGGTGCCAGCGCTGCCAGAAGACCCTGACTGCTGGGAGTCATGCTGAGGTGAGCAGGGCAGAGTTGGGTGGGTATGTTGGGAGGAAGGAGACTGGAGATGGGAAGAGAGAGAGGCTTAGACGGGCTGTCTTTTTTTTCTCCCTGTCCCAGCATGATGGCGTCCCCTACTGCCACATCCCCTGCTACGGCTACCTGTTTGGCCCCAAAGGTGGGCAACCCCACCCCAGACACCAAGCCTAAAGTATGGCATGTACATCATCTGTGGGGGTGTGTGAACAACTTCCCCTGTGGTCAGACACACCCTAACCCTCTTCCAGTTCCCCCCAGTCCTTAATCGAGCATCCCCTAGCCTTAAGGCATTTGGTGATGGGGCTTTCTCCCTCAGGTGTGAACATTGGTGATGTGGGCTGCTACATCTATGACCCAGCAGAGATGAAATCCAAATGAGATGCTCACAGGAGAGATCACTCTAACTCAGGCTGCCCACCATTCTCTCCATGGTCCATTGGTTGCTGGAGAATTCTTCGGTCCCATGAGCATGCGGAAATTGGGGGAGTGGGCCTAGGTTCTACAGGAGGAACAGGCCTGTGGGCCAGAGAGTCTGGACTTTCTCTGCTAACTCTTCTCTTTCCCATTCCTATCTTTCTTATTTGGTCAGGCGTCATAGGCCACCCCTTTTGAAGAATGGCCTCCTTGCCTTCCCCACGCCCAGCAAATTCTGGAGCTTTAAGATACTCATAAAAGTTGTTTATTGAACCTCAGCCTTCCTGGCTTCTCCAATAAAATGTTGTCTCCCATACCATCAACTCTTCTGTACGCATGAGGCCTAGACACTGGGTTGCAGGATGGGTAGTGTGTGTGTGTGTGTGTGTGTGTATTGTGGTAGGGGGAGGAGGGTACATTGCCCTACAGAGTGCCTGAGAGGTAGTGGGACCAGCCATAGGAATGAAGAGCTCTGTTCTTCTGGTCCCCTGGTCCTGGCATTGGGCAGCCCTCTGTCCACACAAGGGACGACATGTCTACCAGCTAAATTGGTACCAGACGTCATCATAGGACAGTCCCTTTCTTTAGCACCATCTCTAGAAGAAGCATCTTCTTCGGCATTTCATTTGGGTATGACAATAGAGCCTGTTGTGAAGTCCGCTAAGAGGTTTCATTATCCCATTTGTGAGATGAACAGACTGAGGCCCAGGAGGGGAAGCCACATGCCCAAGGTCACACAGCAAATCAATGATGAAGCTGGGATCAGAGCCCAGGACAAACAAAGTGGCTTCCCATCCAGGGTTCTCCCCACCCAAGGGGCATCTTTATTCACAGAATCTCCCCAGCCATGAGAAGGGGGCCCAGAATTTTCCAGCTGCCCACTACATTCTGGAAAGTTGCCCTGTTGCTGGCAGCAAAACAGTCAAGGCTGGATGAGCACAGGTTGGAGGCACCAGTGGCAAGTCCAGCCCTGGGCAGAGGGCTTGATGCCTCTGGCCCTGGCAACATGGCCTGCCCTTCTGCTCTTCCAGACCCTGCTGCAGAGCTTCCATGGAAGGCCTGCCTCCAGTCCCACTCAGTCTTGGGACTGCTTCATGTGCACCTCTTCTACCTGAAGGCTGGATAGGGCACTGGGGAGAGAAAAGGTCATGAGCAGAGCAGGTTTAGCCCCTGAGCTTAACCACCCAGCCTGTCCCATCAGGGCTGACCCAGGGCTTTCCTCAGCCCCTGGTATGCAAACACATATACTCCCACAAGTGACTCACACACATGCTTGTAAACATACCTGATGTGTAGGCATACCTGAGTATTCACACAAACACGTCTTCATGATGATCTTGGAGTATTTGTGTACATTCACATGTATGGACTCATAGATACTTTTACACACTCAATTTATATACCCCTGGTCATATACCCTAAAACATACTCAACTGTGCACACTTCTATACAGACACTTAGAACATATGTCCAAACACCTTGTCCTCTCTGAATCCTAATGTGTGTCACACATACCCACATGCATGTGCTTACACATATGCAGACACAGTCATATGCACACACCTCTTTGTCTCCACATCCTGGATGGTCTCTGGCAGTTGTGCCTGCCTTGTCTCTGGGAGCAGGAGGGCAGTGCAGGCAGCCAGCAGGGCAATTCCTCCATAAACGAGCTTGGGAAGTAGTAGCCACACTCCATCCAACAAGGCTGCCAGAGGAGCCAAAGAGCCCCCTAGCCGGCCCACCAGTGCTGTCAACCCCATCCCTGTCTGTCTGTTCAGAGAGAGAGGATGGGGGGGGTGTTGGTACCCATAACTATTTGGGGTCATGCCTCACAGAGCTTCCTTCCCAGACTGGCAGGCCCTGGAACCCCTTTTCTCCAGATATCTAAGAGAGGTGGGGCTTCCTTTAGTTGATCTTTTCCACATTCTTAATTCCAATGAGGTACCATCAAAGTAATCACTGAAGGAGAAGTCATGAGAAAGAAGGTGGGGAAAGGGTAGTATAGAACAAAGAAGGCCAGCAGTTTGTACCTAAACCAAACCCACTGCCATGAAGTTGATTCTGACTCATAGCAACTCCCAAAGGGTTTCCAAGGCTGTATATTTTTACAGAAGTAAATTGCCTCATCTTCCTCCCGCTGAGCAGCTGTGGGTTTGAACCACCGGCCTTCTAATTAGTAACCAAATGTCTTACCCACTGTGTCATCAGAGCTCTTTGCAGCTTGTACAAACCTTGCCATATTGTTAGAAGAAGCTCAAACCTTTCTAAACATACCCAGATGCCTAAGAAGCCTCCTCTCTGAACTTGCCACTTTCTAGAGTCACCACCCAATAGATAGCTGAAAAGTCCCCAGACCTTATATCCAGAGACAACTCCCAAGGGAAGCTCTGCCTCACTGGTAGTGAATGGGGTGGGGTAGGCAGGATGGAGCTTCCTGTGACTTGCTTGACTTGGCTCAAGAACACAGTGCATAAAATGAAATGCCGTCTCGCCTTCTCCCAGACTCATCAAATACAGACAACCCCTGATTACCTCCGTATTCTGGATATGGTGTCAGAATTGGGTGAGAAGGATTGAAGTGCACTGTGTGTATGTAAGAGAGCCCTGGTGGCACAGTGGTTCAAACTCTTGGCTGCTAACTGAAAGGTTTGCAGTTCAAACCCAGCAGCCACTCGACTCAGTAGGAGAAAGATGTGGCAGTATTCTTCCGTAAAGATTACAGTCTTAGAAACCTGTCCTATAGAGTTGCTATGAGAATCGCCTCTAGAGCTATGGGTTTTTTGTTTGGGTGTGTATGTAGGGACGATGGTAAGAGATGTGACTCTCTCTCAGGAGCCCCTCACCTGAGCACGGTAGGGTACAACTCCGACGTGAACATGTAGGCAGTGGTGAAGGCAGCTTCACAAAAACCTTTCCCCATCACCTCCAGGGCGGTGCTCCAGAGCCCCATCTCTAGCAGCAAAGAAGTTCAGACAGTGAGCCGGCCTTGAGGGAGAGCGAGGGCTTCCGGGATAGGAGGTGGAGTCTCGGAACAGTGGGCAGAACTTAAAAGGGCTAAGAGTCCCAGCTCTCCAGGAAAGGGCGGGGTTCCGGAGAGTGGGCGGGATCCCAGGGCGGGGCCTCACGGGTGTGGGCAGGGCCTGTGGGGGCGGGGTTCACCCGAGGTCACCAGCGTCCTAAGGCCCAAAGCGAGAGCTGCGCCCAGAAGCATTCCGGCCTGCGTGAGGCGCCGTCCGAGGCGGCGCACCGACAGGTAGACCAGCAGTTTGGAGGGTAGCTCCACGACCCCGAACAACAGCTGCGTCTGGTACAGGTTCAGTCCTAACCCCGACACGTTTAGGCTCAGGCCGTAATAGGAGAAGTTCACTCCAAACCTGGAGAGGATCATGATGCCACTCAAGGGGCTCTCCTTCGCAACCTCCTTTTCTTCTCTTCTCCCGGAGCCTTAGTGGAACCACCTCCTCCCCTTCAGAGCCCGAGGCCTAGAGTCTTCCCGCTCCCTGTAATCTTCCCTAAGTATGCAGCACGTCCCACAATCCAAAGCCTTTATCCTGATCGCCACAGCAATCCTGCCAGGTAGGAACTGATAGCATCCCCATTGTACAGAAAGGCTGAGTAGTTAAGTCACCTCTCCAAGGCTACACAGAGCCTGAATTTGAACCCAGTTGTCTGTGATGCTTGCTTCATCTTTCGACCTCACCCAGCCAGATCTCCCCAAAAGCTGATCCTCCTACCCTCCACAGGTAGGGTTCACTTGTCCTTCATCCTCACACACAGCCCCATGCTGGTGGCTGTCCCCCACCAGCCCAGCCAAGTTCAGCCCAGCCGTTCCTCACCACACCACCATGCAACACAGTGAGATGTGTCGGAGCCGTGGTGTGCGGAACAGGTCTAGGTACGAGGGTCTTTGTAACACTCGCTCCCCGGCAGCCACCTTGCTCAGGGCCTAGAGAGGGAGGAGGCAAGGTTGTGAGATCAGAGTTGACTATGTGGCCTCAACAGGCCACATTGCCCTCCCTGGATCTCTGGATCTCCCTTCTGCAGGGGTGGCAGGTGGAAGGGGTTCATGTGAGAGCCGAGAAAGGTGGGCCCTGAGTCAAGAATGTGGGTGGGACATCCCAAAGAATTTGGAACTTTCCATGGGGGTCAGGAACTTTTCCCATCACGTACAGTGGACCCTCATTTGACACAAGATACATACACATACACACACACACCCACATTCACTCTCACCTCCTGGCTAAGGTCATCTTCCCTCACAGGCTGCCCATTGAGTCTGGCACAGCGGAGCAGGTACCTATGGGCTTCCTCTACACGGCCCTGGGTCAGAAGCCAGCGGGCAGACTCAGGCACCCACCTGGGGGAGAGGCACAGGGCCCTTCAGCCAGCAAATTGGGTTCTGAGACTCGCTCATGACAACCCAATGCACATCTCCCTCCTAGTCCTACCCACAGGCTGTCAGCCTCCAGACACTTGCTCAGGCAGCCCCTCAGCTGGAACGTTATCTTCTCCTTCACACGCACCTGATGAACTCCTACGCATCTTTTAAAGCAGTTCAGAAGCCACCTTCTCCCAGACTTCCTTGTCTGGGCCTGAGTCCCCCACAGCTTCGACCAACCCTGCCCTACTGAACTGAATTGGCCTCACTCTTAGGACCTTAGCCCCCATGGGTGGCAGAAGGATATAAGATGAAGGAGGGGCCATCTTTGGGAGGCAATGAAATGTCCACCCTGCCTGGCTTCCCAGCCTCCTGCCAGGGATTCTCCCACCCCCTACACTGGCCCTGCTCGCTCCCCCACCTCAGATTGTGCCTGACTCTGTCTCTATGTCTCTCACTGACGCCTGCTTTCTCTGTCTCTTTCTCTATCGCCGTTTGTGCCTCTGAATGTCCCTTTCAGCCTTGGCCCTCACTGTCGCTCACTGGTTCTGTCTTCTTTCTTTCCGTCTCTGTGTCTTGCTCTGTTTCTTGCTGTCCTGTGCAGTCATCTTCTGCCTCCAGCTCAGTCTGTCTGTTGGTCATTGTCTCTTTGCTTCTTTTTGTCTCTTGGTCACTGACTCCAGTTTTTTTTTTTCTCTCTCTCTTTCTCTCTATCTTTCAGTGTCTTTAAATCTCAGTCTCTGATTAATTCTGTCTCTGGGTTCCTATATCCCCAACTCCCCAGCTGTCCCAGGGCCTCACCAGAAGCTGAGGATGCCTGGGACACAAGGCAGGGTGACAGCCAGCAGAAGCCATCGCCAGTCTCGGATCAGGTATCCGACCAGTGCCAGCAGCATTACACCCCCTGTCCAGAAGGTGCTGCTCAGGACGCCTGCCACGGTGCGGTGTTCCACGTCCAGCCACTCCATCTCTGGGCCCGGGGAAGGGACCAGAGTCAGAAAGATAGTAGGTGGAGGCCAGATGGGCTCAGTTTCACTCTTGACAACTATTCCCTCCAGCCCTGTAGGCCCTATCCATCCCTTTCCTGTCTTACCCAGTGGCAACACGATGATGGTAAAGCCAGCCAGAGCTGTGCCAGTGAGGGTGCGGGTGATGGCGAACATGGCATAGTTGACAGAGGCTGCAGATGCCAGGCTCAGCACCAGGGCACTCACATAGGCCACCAGTAGTAGGCGGCGGCGCCCAAATCTGCAAGGAAGTCATGCAGGGTCAGCTCCCCTACGGAGGGGAGGTCCCAAGACAGAGGCAAACTAGACCCATACCCCTGCTGGTAGGAGGGAGTCCTCCCACTGCCCCCCACCATTGGCCCCACACCTCACCCCACCTATCAGCCAGGTATCCAAAGACCACAGCCCCCACCAGCACACCGGCGAAGAAGAAGGTGGACGTGGCTTTGTTCAGGCCTTTCTGCTCACACACCAGGTCCCACTGCAGGGACAGGCAAGGAGGGGCTCCAGTGAGCAGAGACCCCCTTCCAGCTGGCACTTGCCCCTGCTATCCAGACCCTCAGGCTTTCTGAGCTCAACTGAGCCATCCCCCCTGCGTCCATACCAGATATTAAACCCCCAAGTAGTCATCTCAGCCTGCGAATAAGACACTATGCCCCTCTTCTGTACTGAAGCCCCAGCTTCTTCCCATGGCCAATGGGAGGCCTGCTTCCATCCTAGAGAGACTCAGCCCCCATCAGCACCCCACACCCAGATGGGTTATACAAATCCCAGATGTGGGGCCTGAAAAGAGGATGAGGGAGAGAGAGCCCTCTGCTATTTTTCCATCACCTTCTGCAGAAACACCCTTCTCAGCCCTCTGTCCCAAATTTGTACAGTTGTCTTAGCCCTTCCCTGCCTTCATTGCCTCTCAATTTAATAACAGCAGCTCCTGAGTATGAGCTGTTACTACAAACCAGGAGCTAGGCTCAGTGCTTTCTATTCATGGACTTTATCTACTGATGGGTAAACTAAGACCCATGGAGGTAAAGTAGTGTATCTAATGCCCACACAGTAACCACCCCAGGCAGTAGGAGGCCCATCCCACTCACATGTCCCAAACCCCTGGTACCTCGGTTGCAATGGTAGAAGAAAACTGCGAGCGGTCATACTCCCAGCCCTGGTGACAGGCCACTGTGAGGGGCTCCCCCTCAGGCTCCCCAAGGCTGTGTCCTCCTCCCCCCAACGTGGTGTTGGAGAGGGGGCGGGGATGGATGAAACGGAGGCAAGAGCTGAATGTGCCATCAGACTCCCGGGGCAGGTGGGCCTCTAGCCACTGGTCCTGGTGGCTGAAGTTGTCCGGGGCCCCAGGCAGGTTACAGTGGTGAGCAGGCACGGCAGCCATGAAGATGGGCAGGAGGAAGTGCATGGGCAGCAGCAACCGGGGCAAGGCCAGTAGGGCCACATTCCGCAACTGGAAGGGTCCAAAACCACCCACCTGATGCAGCAGCTCCTCGAAGGCCATGCCACTCACCCACCAGCTGTGCCCGGTGCAGACTTCCTGGTGCAGGCTCCCTCTCAACCCGCACAGCTCAACCCGCCTCCCACTTGGACCCTTGGACCCTGTGGGTGGAACGGGATGGACTGATGAGTGAAGAGCCTGCAGCTAGAATCCAGTCTGAAGGGCTGGCCCAAGACTAGGCCCTCCCTGGCCACCCAGGCCTCTAGGGACCCTAGCCCACCTGGCCCAGTGCCTGGGGGGAGGGACTGCTGTCGATTCAGAGGTCACAGACTCTGTGGCTCTAAGGCTTAAACATCAGTGCTCAGAGACAGGCTGGGTAGCTTGGCATGTAGGAGGTAAGCCCCCAACCCCTCAGCCAGCAAAGCTCCAAGAGTAAGAGGAGGGAGCCCTGGGCCTTGGTGTCAGCTCTCCTTGGATGCCCTTTGTCCTACAAGGCTTCAGGTCAGCCTTGCCTCTGCAGCCCCAGCCTGGCCAGCAGCCTAGGCTTCATGACTGAAGGTTAGGTCCTTACCAAGTGAAGGGCCACAAGGCCTCCCAGTATCTCTAGGCCTTCACCTGGAGTTTATGCTCTAGCCTGAGATAGACTAGAACCCCACCTGGGAAGCCTGTCTTCTCTGGGACCCCAGGCCCATCACCCTTTACTTCCTCTCTCAGGAGCTCTCCCATACACAAGGACCCTCTTGCCTGCCCCGACCTTCCATCTTCAGGAGCTTCCCAGATTGCCCCTTGGGGAGCCTCTGCCAAAGTCCTACCATAGATTTCTGCAATGCCTGAGACCCAGGACTTGCCCCTTCAGTCTAACTCCTTTCAACCCCTTCTTCACTCACCCACCACAAAGACTGTTTTAAAACACAAATCGGACAGGGTCACATCTGTGTTTAAAACCCATCACCACTTCCCACTGCTGGAGGATGGAAGTACAGCTCTATAGGACCAGTTCTACTTCCCTACACCTGGCTACTCACCAACATGCCTCCTTCACTCCAGTTCCCCAAACACACCAGCCCACTGGCACCTCACACCTCCATGCAGTCCTTTGGGCAGCATTTTTTTTTTTTTAAAAAAAAGCACTGCCATCAAGTTGATTCCAAGGCAGTAAATCTTTACAGAAGTAGATTGCCTACTTAGCCTTGTTTTGTGGAGTGGCTGGTGGATTTGAACCACCAACCTTCTGGTTAGCAGTCAGATACCTTAGGCACTGTGCTACCCGAGCTCCTTTGGGCAGTATTAGCCTCCCCCTTATTTACCTGAAAAGCACCCAGGCTTCCCTAGAGCCTAGTATGGGGGTGAGATACCACCTATCCTCTCATCCACCTGTCATTCCCCTCCTTTAGTAGTATATAGTCATTATTTATATAAATATATAACGTGCCATAATACTTTGCAGCTCTTGAAAGGTAAGTTTAGTGTTTTATAACCACTTTTTTTTTATTGTGGTAAAAATACAGGTAACAAAACATTTGTATAGTTCAGTAACATTTCCATCATATTGTGCAACCATCACTATTGATCGTTCCCGAATTTTTGCATCACCCTTAACAGAAACTCACTGTGCCCTAAATGTGTCTTTCTTTCCCTCTCCCTCCTGCCCTGGTGATCACCTACAAACTTTGATCCTGAAGGATAAGTTTTGAAGCCATTTATCTCAGTGGCCCATCCAGCAGCTCCACAGAGGGACAATCTGAGGTTTTTCCACAGCCAGGAATGAGCCAACCCCAGGCATTGGCTGTGGTGCCTTAGTTTTCGCAATGGAAATTTCTTTAATGCTTTAATATCAGAAATAGTTGATAATCGTACAGTAGACACATTTCCCTCTTTGCATTGGTTCATAGGAAGCTCAGATCTAAATTTGCAGTCTTTTATCCCGGTGAGCAATTTGGCAGTCATTGTACCCCTGCCTTCATTTTATCCCTTGCCCCCCATATGGCAGATCTCCTTTCTGATGTCATGAGGGGGTAACAATGAGCTTGATGCTTGGAGCTACCCGAGCTGATCTCAATTCTTCTTATGGTCTTTACTCATGGTCTTGACTCAGTTGGAAAATCTCAGTAGGCTCCAGTGTCTGATGATCAGAGATATAGCACGCCTCCACATCTCCACAATGGGCTCTTTTCTCCAGAGCATACCCCAGGGGCCCCTCTTTACTAACAAAGGCTCCTCCAGCTGTCCTTGATCCTGTGGCTCCCATATAGCCCCTGACTGAGGAACCTTGGTCAAGCCACTTATCTCTCTGTGTCCTTTCAGATTTTTCTTTGACCACATGACAGGGTAGAGAAATGTCTCCTTGGAGGAGGTTGGGGAGAAGGTCTACTGGGAGCTAGGCAGGTCCTCACCTGAGGAGCATCAGGTCATCACTGAAGCCAAGCCTTGGTTGGCCTCAGGAGTTAGGTATGCCTAGTAGGTCTCAGGTCCCAGGGAGAGGTGGACGAGTAGAGGGTTCTTTCCAATCCCAAAAAACTATTCTCCTTGGGTTTGCCTACTCATGCCTAGGGCCTGATCCTGTTGCTCCTTCACCCCTCTCTATCCACTGCCTGACTCATACCTGTGACCCACTACACTGAACCACATGTTCCATCTATTTGCCCATGTTGCTCCCTCTGCTGGGAATGTCCTCTCCTCTTCATCTGGCCAACTCCTGTTCATCCTTCAAGAACCAATCCAGGAGTCACACCCATCTAGAGGTCTCCCTTAAAGCTCCCAGTCTGGTGTGGGTGTTCCCTGAACCTCCCGTATCAGGCATATACCACCTTGTCAGGTGAAAGTCCTTGAAAGCATGTGGGGCTTTGTCTCAATGCAGATGTCTGGCATAGACTCTGGTATTTGTGGAGTTCAGCAAGAGTTTGAGAATTACTTGAATGAATCAATGATTGAGTAAGTGCTAGCTAATGAGTGAATAACCTGAGGGTAAAGTAGAGGGGTCAGCAAAAAAGGGGAAGACTCTCAACGAGATGGATTGACACAGTGGCTGCAATGATGGGCTCGAGCATAGCAAGGACTGAAGATGGCACAGGACCCGGTAGTGTTTTGTTCTGTTGTGCAATAGGGTAGCTGTGAGTCAGAGCCAACTCAACAGCACCTAACAACAACAACCTGAGGGTATTCTTTCCCTCAGGAGCCCTCAATAATAAATCAAAGAAATTAAAAATAAACATTTTTCATCTATCTGAGTATACTGGGAATTTCCCCTAGAATCAGACTTGCAAGAATAAACAGAGATCAGAGCCAGGATGCTCATGTTAGCACTGTTTGAAATAGTGAAAAGCTGGAAAACCTCTAATGAAAAATCAGTATCAGGCTGGTTAAATAGATTATGGAATATTCATGAAATACAATACTATGTTGCCATTAAAAAGACCATGTGGATCTTCATACATTGCTGGTGGGAATGTAAAATGGGCAGCTGCTTTGGAAAAATTTGAAAGTACCTCAAAATACAGAGGAATACAGAGTTGTCATATTATCTAGAAATTCCACTCCCAGGCATATACCCAAGAGAAATGAAAACACACATCCACACAAAAACGTGTACAAGAAGTTTGTAGCATTATTCAATTATTCATAATAACCAAAAAGTAGCAACAGTCCAAATGTCCATCAACGGATGAGTATATGAACAAACTATGTCATATCTGTACAATGGACTATTTATTAATCAGTAGTAAAGAGGAATAAAATACTGATACATGATACAACATGGATGAACATTGAAATCATTGTTAAGTGAAATAAGCCAGTCAGAAAAGATCACGTAAGAGTCCATTTATATGAAATGTCCAGATAGGCAAATGTATAGAGACAGAAAGCAGATTAATAGTTGCCCAGAGCTGGAGGAAGGGGTACTGGTGGTGCTAACTGAAAGGCTGGTGGTTTGAACCCACCTTGCAGCTCCATGGGAAAAGGACCTGACAGTGTGCTTCTGTAAAGATTACAGCCCAGAAAACCCTACGGGACAGTTCTGCTCTGTCACATGGGGTCACTATGAGTCAGAATTGACTCCACAGCCCTTGACAACAGCAGAGCGGGAGGAGTGGGGGAAATGGGGGTGATTACTAATGGATGTGCAGTTTCTTTCTGGGGTGATGAGAATGTTCTAAAATTGATTGTAGTGATAGTTGTACAACTTTGTGAATATACTCAAAACAATTGAATTACACAATTTAAATTGGTAAATTGTATGATACATAAATTTTATCTCAATAAAGCTGTTTAAAAAAAAAAAAGAAGAAGAAGAAGGAAGATCTGCATTTTAAGGCATACTATTTGCTGGTCTGATGAACCTGGTGAGACTCCTGAGACTATGGCCCCTAGTTACCCTTCAGGTCTGGAACTGAACTCACTCCTGTGGCTTCCAGTTAAACAATAGACAGGCATATGGAGTGAACATTTACATCAGGTGTATACACTCCTTGGAGCGATTAATCGTGGAAGAATAGAAGGGCAGTGTTTGCACAGGGAGATAGCTCTGGGGGTGGGATGCATGGGAGAGAAGGACACAGGGAAGAGGTAACTACAGAGAGGAAGTGGGAAGAGAGCTGTTCCATTGTGGGGAATTTCAGTCAATGTCATGAAACAAAATGTGTATGAACTGCCTTATGGAAAATGAATTTGCTTTGTAAACTTTCACCCAAATCACAATAAAAATTTAAAAAAAAAAAAGACATTGTTGGGTACAAAAATCAAGCTTCAGAATAGTAGGTATAAATGCTCCTCTTTTTATTTATAAGAAATGTGTGTGTGTGTGTGTGTGTATGTATACATACATTGTTATGGATCAAATTATGTTCCCTATGCCTGTGGATTTAATCCTGTTTGGAAATAGAGGTTTCTTTGTTAATGTTAATCAGATCATACCCACGTAGGTGGGTTCTAAGTTTTACTTCTTACTTCCAAGTTATAAAAAGAGATTAGACACAGAGATACACACATATAGGAAGAAGACAGATGTGAGTATCATAAGCCAAGGAACCAAGGAATGCCAAGGACTACTTATAAGGAAGGAATTG